AACCGAGCGATTCTGTGATTCTGTGAACTTAAAACATTTTTGTCCTGTTAGCTTCCAGGTATTCAGTGTTTACCACCTGTTAACTTACTTAATTTAGAATACTCTAAAAAGCTGTTGCACAGAGCTGCTTTCTTATCTCAAGCCTCCCGAATCCTAACTTACTACTGGCACTGCAGAAATATGAGAGTGAGGGGCTGTTAAGAGTTTTATTTAGTACACAGGCTTCTGGAAAATTGACTTGTTTCTCATTTTCAGTTATTTCAATGAAAAGCCAAACCAGCATATTTTGTTGTTATTCCATAACAGAAACATGAGTGAAAGACATTCATGTGCCAGAATCCTTTAACTTTTAGCTAATTCTTGAATAAAATATATTTTCTTCGTTAGATTTTTATCAAAAATCTTATGTACCCACACTAGATTTATTCTTTCCCTTGCAAATATAATCCAGTTACTGTTTTAGCCATGTAAGAAAGTAGTACTAAGGGTTTAGTACCTATTTTCTGTTGCCCCCAATCCTGAATATAGAGATGTTGAGCTATCATCTTTGGATTTTAAGGGTCTGTTTTGTTTGTCCTGTCTCCAGGGAGGGGTATGATTGCTTTGAGTGGTTTTTAAGTTATTTAAGAGAGCTGGAAGTTAGTTGCTAAGAAAAAGCAAGAGAGATGATATATTTCCTGTCCTGAAGTCTTATTATTTAAGTGAAAATGAAATGAAATATATTGTTCAGGTGTGATTTTGTTAATTAGCTGTTGAATTTTGCTTTACCTGAGGATAACTTGTCTCTGAAGGCTTTTTCTTCTTAACCATGCCCCTTGGTTTATTTTGCAGACTGGCACACTTACTGAGGATGGCTTGGATCTCTGGGGAATTCAGCGGGTGGAAGGTGCTCGGTAAGGATGAGCTCAGAGCTGATAGCAAATTACCTATCTTAATTTGTTGTGTTTTAACAGCTTCAGCAGAATGAAATAGAGAATTAAACGTGAGCTCATGTATGTTTACATTTCTGTAATAAGCTGTAAGAATGCAAGAGAAAATACAGTTTAAGTGTCGTAACAGTTGTAACTCTTACGAGAATGAGGTGGGATTTTATTTGTTAATGCCTGAGACCTCATTAGGTTCATGCTGCAGAAATGATGCAGTTAAAGAATAACGTATTTCCTTAATCCTGTCCTCCTAAGGGATGACTTTTTGGGCTGCTAAAATGAATTAGCTTACCTAATTGAGTTAAGTACAAAGTGATAAGAGGCCTCTGTATGAGGAACCAAACCAGGCAGTGAATTAACACAGAGTTTTTGAAAGAGACAAAAGTTGTGACTGTTTCTGAACATTCCCGCCCAGAGTCTTAATCTGTTTTCTGTGATGCATGAAAATACAAGTGAAGAGACTTGTGCAGTCAATTTTCTTCTGTTAATCTAAACAAACCTTTTGAATTGGCTCATAATAAATAATTGTAGTGCTAAGTATATTATAACTTCATTGTTTTAGTTTCCTTTTGCCGGAAGAGAGGGCTTGCAGTGAGAGCTTGCTGAAGTCTGAGTTTGTTGCTTGCATGGCAACTTGTCATTCCCTTACAAAAATTGAAGGGGTGCTTTCTGGGGATCCGCTTGATTTGAAGATGTTTGAAGCAATAGGATGGGTAAGTGTCTGCTTGCTTCAAGAGAAGCAATGTTTTTAAGATCAGTAATCTGAAATTTCCTTCATACATGCAAGGTTATATTTCCTTTATGTACAAAGTAAGCCACTGTATGCTGTTCCAAGCTGTAAAACGGGGCTTTTCTCAATGCCTGTGTGTCAAAAGTCTTAATATGAAAACATTCCTAAAATGTGTTCTGCGCAACAAGTCATAGAACTGAAATAACCTGAAGAGCTGGTTTACTGCTTTCTGTTGTTGTGTGTGGCAAGGTTTCAATGCATATAATAAACATGTACAAATAGCTAAGTGGATCTTAAGTTAACTGCTAAATTAAGACAATTCTCACAGGAAATCTTGTTTAGAAAGATCATTGCACCTTGGGCTGACTTCCAAGGCTGTTTGTTTTTTTTCTGACGGTTACGTTATGAGAAAATCAAAGTTAGTGTATATCTATAAATAAGTTGATTTATTTTTAATACAGATTTTAGAAGAAGCAACTGAAGAAGAAACAGCCCTTCATAATCGAATCATGCCAACAGTGGTTCGACCTTCCAAACAACTATTCCCAGAATCCAAGCAAGCAACAAATCAAGAAATGGTATAAAGATTCAAAGCAATTTTTTGAATTAAAGTAATCCTTCACGTTAAACAAATCCATTTTACCGTATGGTGTGGTTCTGGCTGATATAATGCAAACAGGATCAAAACTGTGTGATTTTTCTGATAGCAAATATAGAGAAGACAAGTTTAGACCCTTGTTGAAGGTAGTGGTTCAGTTCACCTCCAAGGTGAGCAGACCCATGGTAAGCATTATTACCTGCACAGACTGGTTGTAAAGTGCTGTAATGCTTTTTGAGCCTATGCTCAAATATTAATATCATTACCAAATTCTTACCTTGCAGTTTCAGTTAAAACAATCGTTTGTTAACGTCACTGCCTGGTATGGAATTTTTGCCACCATTGCACCTTAGAGTACTTACTTGGCAGATTTAAAATTTTCTTCTATCTGCATTTTTAAGTAATTTTTAATACTTCAGGAAAGGAAACTTAAGCATATGACTATATCCAGATTATCCCAGAGCAGGGTAGCAGGAGATTATAGCAAGCTGGTTCCTCTGTACAGGTCTTATTGTATGGTAGATAGAAGTGTCCTTTTGTGTTCAGAACTCAGTGTACATGCACAGCAGTAATTATGCAGTAGCTGGCACATGAACATTCTTGAAACTTAATACGTTATTTTTTGAGATATACTTAATAATCACAGCCTCATTCTGAAATACCATAGTACTTTATCACTTACATAGGCTGAACACACACATTGCACTGTGAAAGGTCTTGCAGATTGCAATCGAGAGATCAAGCTGTAAAGTTCTAGTACATCTCACTTAAGATAAAGGTTACTAAACAGATGCAGTATATTCATACTCAGCTTTTATCAAATCCATTGCAGATACAGTATGACTTTGTATTGAGAATGCTGTGTAGATTCACTTACTGGTTTATGTTGAAATAGTTTGTAGCTGAAAAAATACTTATAAATACATATTTACAGTACTTTTTTTCCCCCCTCCCCTTTCTTTAGGAATTGGAATTGTTTGAACTTCCGGTAAGTATGCTTTTTCAATTAAGCATGTATCTCTCTTTTCAAAATGCATATGGATGTAACCCTTTTCTTCCTTCCTTCCTGTATGACACAGACCAGTTATGAGATTGGAATCGTGCGCCAGTTTCCATTTTCTTCCGTTCTGCAACGCATGTGTGTAATAGCAAGAGTTCTAGGGGAGAAGAGAATGGATGCTTACATGAAAGGTGCCCCTGAAGTGATTGCCAGCTTGTGTAAGCAGGAAACAGGTAAAGGAATAAACTATTTTTATTTCTTGCATAGTTCAGCTGTAATATGAATAATTTTAATAACTCTAAACTTGACCTTTTTAAAGTTCCTGCTAAAATTTGAGTGTGTCCTGGAAGAATACACGAAGCAGGGCTTCCGAGTTATCGCTCTTGCTCACAGAAAATTGGAGTCTAAGCTTACGTGGCACAAAGTCCAGACTATTAATAGGTAAGAGTGACTTCACTTTTTGAATAACAGGCTTTAAAAGCTGCATGCTTTGTATTAATTATGAAATGTTTATTTTTGTTTAAATCAATTACTACTACTCTTTAGTTCTCTTCTGTCTTGACATACGTAGTTCTGTACATTCTTTATTTTCACCCTGGATAATACATAGAAATTTAAGATAAGAGAGTTCTTCTGCAACAATGTGAATTGTGAGGAACATCTTCAAGCTTGAAATTAACTGTATTAATAATTCTTTCTGGTGTTTAATTTATGCTAACGTAGCAGAAAACATAATGAGATTTCTTTGTTACTTAAACTCACATCATCTGTGACTGTTAAAGATAATGGGATGCAGTGGAAACCCTCATGTGCATGTGTGGTTTTAAACTAAAACAAGGTCGATAAGTATAAATGAATGTGAATGATGATTTCTCTCAGGTCACTTTTTATAAAGCAAATTCTTTACTTTTCACAGTTAAAAATAAACATCTCTGTTTACTTTGATAAACAGAAAACCTGGCTCTTTAAGCTGCAGCTAATAATTATAATTCTTCTAATTTTTTTTTCCCTTTGCCACTTTTACTACAGAGATGCTATTGAAAGCAACATGGATTTTTTGGGGTTAATTATAATGCAAAACAAGCTAAAGCAAGAAACCCCTGCTGTACTTGAAGATTTGCATAAAGCCAACATTCGCACCGTCATGGTTACAGGTTAGCATCTAAACATTCATAATCAAGGACAAAAATCCATCTCTTTTTGTCGTACTTTATAGTGTATGAAGTCAAATTTTAGTGTCAGTAGCCTGGGATTGCACGGTGTTTATAGCAAGAGGGAAGTTTAGAAACCAGTGTTTCTTTTTGGAATAAAGTTGCTTTGATAAGTCAAGAGATCAGGAACCAGCATGGCTTTGTTAGCTTTTCTCTTATGTGGAATATCTTATGTGCTATTGATCCGTTTCTAACTGAAACTTTTTAAAATGAAATTGTTCAACAGGGGATAACATGTTAACTGCTATCTCTGTGGCCAGAGACTGTGGAATGATTCTACCTCAGGATAAGGTCATAATTGCTGAAGCACTACCTCCAAAGGACGGGCAGGCTGCCAGGATCAACTGGCATTATGCAGATACCCTCGCAAAATGCACTAGTTCATCACCAGCCATAAACTCAGAGGTAATAGGAGCATTATTATCCCCTTAGAGTGCAAGCAGTTCGTTTTACTGTTGAGTTTCTTTCTTTTGATCTTACTCTGTTAAGTAGTAAATCTGCTGTTAAGTGTCAAATCAAAATTAAAGTGCTAATTAACTTTCAGTCTTAAAATACCAGAGAGTGGTAAAACAGCTGGGGAAGCTGGTTTTTCATCTGTGACACGACAATTTGACATTTTAGTTGTGCAGGAGACAGGTTTTTTTCCCCCACGGGCTGCTCTAGCTGCTTGTAGTTGAAACATTAAACCACATTTTCTTAGTAATAAGTAAGCGTTTTCATTGTATGAGGATTTCTTTCAAGTAACGTTCTTAGAAACCTCCTGTAGTGTAGGACCTCTAGAAATAGCCCTCTGAGTGTTAGCTTGAAATTACAAGGTATCTGTGTAAATATGCTACAGCTAGTGTTCCACTTTTGATAGGATATTCCAGTTAAATTGGTCCATGAAAGCCTTGAGGATCTCCAGATGATGAAATACCATTTTGCAATGAATGGAAAGTCATTTGCAGTGATTTTGGAGCATTTTCAGGACCTGGTACCCAAGGTGAGCATTTTACTTGAGGTCTGTGCACTTTTGATGCTGAACAGACTTTGCCTTGTGAGCATTAAGAAGTCTTCTGTCTTGCAGCTTGTGTTACGTGGCACTGTGTTTGCTCGTATGGCGCCTGATCAGAAAACTCAGTTGGTGGAGGCTTTACAAAATGTAGAGTAAGTATATTTGCTTACGTAAAGAAAGCGGGAGGGTTGACAGTGTTCCATGTGATAAGAGAAAAAATGATGTATGCTGCTAGCTGTTTTGCCAAATGAACATTACATTTGCTGGGCTAATGTAACTTCCTCGAGTTGATACACCAGCCTATTAGCTGAGCAGAAGTGAGTGTGGTACCATCTGCTGGCTAGTCGTGAAAGGTTCAGACTTTTCATGAAGTCAAGTAATACACAAGTATTTAATGAAATAAGGTAAAGGGACTGTGTGATTAGGGAGTGGTCCAGAATTCTGACATCTGTTTTGGTTTTGTAGTTACTACGTGGGCATGTGTGGAGATGGAGCAAATGACTGTGGTGTAAGTATATTTTTATTCTCCAGACTGAAATGTTCAGTTAAATTTTACAACAGAAAGCAAGTTTTAGAATATCTATTTCGATGTTATCTGACAGGCACTAAAGAGGGCACATGGTGGTATTTCTTTGTCTGAACTTGAGGCTTCCGTGGCATCACCATTCACTTCCAGGACACCGAGTATTTCCTGCGTGCCAAAGCTGATCAGGTAATGCCGCTTGGTGTGAACTTAAATGTGTTCGTGTAACTCAGTTTGCCTACCATATGTTAGTGTGTGTTTGATGCTGTAGGAGGCCGGTTTGAATTAAAGGACAAGCCATGCATTTGTAGTAGTTCTGTTTCTTCACTGAAGTTACTCTGAGCGAGGGCTTGCCATAGCACGATGTAGTATTTTGTTATAAACCCTTTTGTCCATGTAAAGTTAATCTTACAGAGTGTGAGTGAGCTTTCACATGTTAGTCACTAAGACATCAAATTAAATACTATGTTAGTGTCCATAAAGGCTGTGTACAATTGTAAGCAGTAAAATCCTTCAGATAAGTGCTGAGCACCATACAAAGTAGAAAACAAATTTTCTAAATACGATTTGACTGATTTTTTTATTTTTTTGTTATTCTAGAATTGAAAGTTGGGTAATAATTTTGCATAAACATCAGCCAGAGGAGAATCTAGTTAAGTCTGTGTGGAACTAATGAAGTAATGCATAATCAGAAACATTTCTGAAGTCAGCAACTCTGTGGCTGACTGCTTGTTCATTCAGTCCATGTAGTAAACTAGCGCTTCACAGATACTTCTGCAAGCAGATCTTCATTTTAAAACCTCTGTTGGAAAACCACATAAAGTCCAAAGAACAGCAGCATAAGGTGGTGGCTCAGTTCAGAAGGCGTGCTCACAACTTTGATGGGCTTGAAAGGTGTACCATGCTGACCCCTTTTTCTCCTTATGTCTTCAGCCTATAATGTCCCTCAAAGGATTTGTCGATATGTTTAATTGCAGCTAACGTTTTGCAGAGTTTAATTGCTTGCACAGAAAGCTTTTTAGTTACATGATTGTATTTGTTTTGACAGGGAAGGCCGTGCTGCTTTAATAACTTCCTTCTGTGTATTTAAATTCATGGCATTATACAGCATTATCCAGTACATCAGTGTTACTCTGCTATATTCTGTAAGTAATAAATTGTGCTTAAGCAGTGTCAACGTAATTCAGAGACCTGAAAATTGATTTAATATAACTTGCTGAAAGTCTCTTTGAGTACAACACCACCCACATTCTAAAAACTGTCTTTGGACTAAAAGTATTGTTAGTATTTTTTGCATTTTTTAGTATTAACTGTGGAAAAACATGGCAGGATCTATTTTAAAAAGGAGATAACTAATGCCTGTGAATTGCAAGTCTCTACAGTGGGAAGTTCAAATCAGTGTGTAAATAAAACAAAAATACAATTTTCCATTATTTCAGATCTGTCAGCATTTTAAAATAGTCTAACTTTATTTAAAGGACATGCAGTCCTTTTATGTAAGGATTGAAAAAGAGCAGCTGCAAGTATTGAGTTATGAGAGGAAAAAAGTGGAGTGGATTATTTCCTGTTAATAAGATTGGATTCATTATGTGGCGTGTGGTAGAAATCTTGTCTTTTAGTTTGTATTCTGAGTAAGTTAAACATGTAAAGTATTAAAAGACCTTTGAGGTGGAAATTTTGACAACTGTATGGCTGCATAGTAAGGTTATGGTGTTCAGAGAACTGTAGGGCTAAGCTACTATTTCATTCATTTGTAAGATTCAGTAATATAAGTTAGATTACAAACAAGTTTGAATTACAAATACCTACTGCATCTTGAGACTGAAATGGTTTCATACCTTGATACTTCAGGAGTTGATCTGTGAATTACAGCTCAAGACTCCTGCAGATAAAGGAAGGCAGTTTGATAAGAGACTGTCTTGTTTATAGAGCGATATTTGAGGAGTTAATGCTGGAGGAGTGTTGCTGTAAGATGCTTCTTGGTGCAAAGACATTACCAGTGTTTCAATTGTGATTTTTTTGTCTAGATCCTGAGTAATTTGGGAGATTTCCAGTTTCTCTTCATTGATTTGGCAATCATTTTGGTGGTTGTCTTCACTAGTAAGTATTGTGCTGAATTACCCCTGCTGGCTTCTATGAAGCGGTTTTTGCTTGCTGAATTTTTCTTTTGCTATCTAATTATATGTTGTTTGGAGTAAGCACTGTGACATACAGTTAAGATGTTCCGACTACTACAGTACGTGCATTAAAAACCCAGACCACTGTGTACAAAGTTAGATTCCTCTGAAGTTTGAGAAATGTCCTCATATAAAAAGCAGATGGTGGGCAGGGTCTTAGAAAAGTAGTTCTTCAGAGTACAGGAAGTCAGAAATACCTACTGACATGAGGAAACTGGTTTTGGAATCAAAGCAGGAGTTGTTCCCACATCATCTTTCTCAAATGTTTTCATTTCTTACATTTTCAGTTGAACTTCTGTCCACAAAATGTTGTATTTGAAAACTGTTACCTAGTGAAGTGTTTGATTCCTCATATGAACCAAGCGCTCGGTTTGCTGGCTAGCAGCACAATTCCATTGTCAAGTTTAATAGAAACTGCTGCTTTAAAGCAAGGGCAGACCAAAACGGAGGAGACTTGCTGTAAGTCCTTGTGGCAGACAAAGGGAATTTGGCCAGACACTACTAATTCCTGAAACCTTGTGGGTTCTGGTATTGTCCCCTGCCATCCTGTGCTGCTGGGGGTAACCAGCCTGTAGAAGGGCACTGTGGTGTCATTCCAGTGTGAGAGAATCTTTTCAAGATGGTTTCACGCTGCACTAATTTTTTTGAAGTGATGTCATGAGCAAGCCATTCTAATTCCACAGAATGTGAACATTATGGTTCTTGAAAACCATAATGATGTAATGTGTAATTTATTTTTCTTTCTTTTTGCAGTGAGTCTGAACCCTGCTTGGAAGGAGCTTGTTGCGCAAAGGCCTCCATCAGGTCTTATCTCAGGTCCACTTCTGTGTTCCGTTTTGTCTCAGATCATCATCTGCCTTGCTTTCCAAACCTTTGGGTTTTTTTGGGTCAAACAGCAGTCCTGGTATGAGCCTTGGACAACAGAATCTGAGTAAGTGTTTCAGTGGCTCCATGCAGGATGCAGTAACGATTGGAAAGCTGTAGGCCCTAATTGCTCTCTTCTTCATTGACCTCCTTTGAGGACTTTGTAAATAAAGCTTCTGTATGGCAGCTTTGATAGCTTGCTGAATTTTTTGTGAAAAGCTTACTAATATGTAGGAGTTACTCAGTGGCTGAAATGCAGAAAGTTTTGTTGTCCTGTTAGAGTTCTAGTGAATCAAATTCATAGTTCTGAAAATGAAGATGTGTTTTCATCTTTGTTTACTTTGCAGTATTTTCTTACCTGTCTTCAAAGTGTAGAAAATAATTGTCTGCAGTGATGATTTCTAAGCAGTTCATGTAGTGAACTTACAAGCTGGAAGGTCAAAAGAACTTGAAGCTCAGAATTCACAAAAATTGCTACCTCCCTGCTGTAGTTTTGAGTTTTCTTACTAATGTAATTCTAACCTGTAATTGGTTTTCAAGGATAAAGGGTTTTTTCAACCACTGTAGCAATTTGTTTGTTACCGCTTTTGTTAATAAGTAGGCCTTATTTGCATCTCCACCCGGTGTTAATTTTATTTTTTTTATGTTGTAGTGCATGTAATGTATTGGATGCCACAAACACCAGCTCTGCACACCATGAGAATGAGACTCTTCATGATGAACATTACATTAAAAATTATGAAAACACAACTTTGTTTTTTATATCCAGCTTTCAGTACCTCATTGTGGCAATTGTTTTTTCTAAAGGAAAGCCCTTTAGGCAACCGTGCTACAAAAATGGTAAGTCCTTTCTTACAATATATACTTCCAAGTAAAACTCTCAAGTGACTCTGCATTTATTCATCCATGGCTTGCTTACAATTCTGTTGTGCCACTTCAGCAGTGGTAGTGCCGCTAGGAGAGCAGAGTACCATTATCCTCTGATAATCAGAGATAGAAATAGGGAAGTATTAAACTGTATGGTGAAATTTGTGTTAATAGTTGCTTCGTTTGTAAGAAATATAGGTGCATATACGTTCCAGCTCCACAAGTGAGCCAGGGAAAAATTGAGTCTGGCCTTCTGTCTCTGTGGCTATCAGCACAACTTACATTGCCAAAATCGACCCCGAAAGGAGTTCAGAGGGGCAAAAGAGGTTACTTCCAGAGCGTAATGAACCCGTGGTACATGGAAAAGCTGTCTAAAACTCTGACTGTGAGATCGTGTGATTAAAATATTTTTTTCTTCATTTACAGTTCTGTTTGTTATATCTGTGATAATTCTCTATGTCTTCATATTCTTCATCATGTTGCATCCTGTTGAATCTATTGACGCATTTCTTGAGGTAAGATCCAGCAGATACGCAACTGTCTGCACTTCCTGGGATAACTGGTTGGCTGCCTTGTGGGCAAGCTTGACCCCTTTAGAGCTTTAAACTTTACATCTCTCAGGGGAAAGGGAGAATTCATAATTCTGAGCCTGTTCTGAATGTGTCTACTTCATATGTGTGTTGCTAACCTGCGGCAACTTTCTCTCACAGCTCGTGTGCGTGCCATATGAGTGGCGCCTAAGAATTCTCATCATCGTTATTCTCAATGCAATTGTATCCGTGCTGACGGAGGTAAGAAATTCAGATGAAAAAAGTGCTTGTTGGTTTAAGTGGGTTGGTTTTTTTTCAGGGTATGTGTTTGTCTTTTGTTTAGAAAGCATCTTTTCGCAGCATGCCAGTGTTAAGTGACCACTGTTTTCTTGTTAGATATGTATTCCTAAAAACATCCATGAAGGAGAGATTTAAGATGTCAAAGTTTTCTGTGCTAGAAGCATAATTTTAAAACCTTTTTATGAATGAAAAAGTAAGAGGAGGAGGGGGAAGCTGACAGACTTAATAAATCAATCTGTTTTGTAGGACAATATGCTCTGTATTTATTTGCTGTATTAATTCAGTTCAGAATAACATAACATAGTAAAAACCAAGATAAAATCCTTAGGGAAGCCCATCTTCAGTCAGTTGGATCATACACATAACTCATAGTTCAGAATAATACAGGTCTACATAACTTGTTCATCTAGTCTGATCCATGACATGTTCGTGTAGATGTACTTCTTCCAGCCCTGAGCTTGTCCAGAGTCAGTCACTCTGAATATTGGCCTCTTCTGCTGTAATTCCAGAGTTAATGTGGGCACAAACATGCCCTGCCTTTCATCCAGGTACTCCTGTGTTGGTTCCAAGAATCAGAGTTTGACAGATATATCTTCCAGAAGGAGTCTGAATTCAAAGACAGTCACTTATTCCTGTGGTTAGTTCCTCTCCCTGTTAAATTGATGCCTTGTGTCCAGCCTGAATACATTTTGGGTTTAGTTGCAGCCATTAGTCACTATTTTTTTTTCCTGCAAGATGAAAAAGCCTTTCAACATTATCTAGTCCCTGCACACCATAACTACCTGTTCTTACTGCATAACATCTTCTGCAGCTTCTAGTCAATATTTCCATTACTATGCAAGGGATTGCTATCAAGGGACCCAGCATGATGTTTGCTTGGTTCATACCAGTTTGGCCTTTGAAGGATACTACAGCATTAATATTCTTTCCAGTTGACTAGTTTTTTCCGTTTTTTTCTTGGCTTAGTAAAAATAAAATCAACTGCAGCTTTTTTTTGGACACTTCAATCAAAATTATCAAGACTTTGAGTTCCAAACGTTGTTCCAAGTAGAATTTGCAATATATGCTATTATGGTGCTGCCATTGGAACATGTTTTTCAGTGTTTCCACAATAGGCAGTAACTTGTCTTTTACAAAACATGGCAGTAGATAAGAAATTGTTTGGCCTTTGCCTCGTTAACAAGTTTATCCTCTCCTAAAGATCCTGCGCCTTTCTTACCTTGTCCTATATTTACTCTAACTCTGCTTGTGGTGGAGGTTTCCTTTATGCCCTTTAATTATATCTTTTTTTTGTATGTGTGCTACTAAACTCTTAATAGTTTTCTTTTTTTTTGCCTCCTTTTTATTTAAAAGTTAAATTTTATGCTGAATGCTTTGTTTAGACAGAGACACATTGTCTTACTGTACAGCACGTGTCCAACAGAAGCATTGTCTAGTCATCCCTGAATCCCAAACCTCATTTTATGATACACACTTCACCTTCCATAACTCGAAGCTGCTTTTGTCCCACTGTTTGAACTGTATTTGTCCAGCTCCAGCAGCATTACTCCAGGCTCCCTGAAGCTCTTTCATGTGGTGCCGACTCGTTTGGTCCAAGGTCCCAGACATGTTTTCAGAAACGCTTTGTAAAGCTTTTGCTCCTTCCATGTGAGCACCAGACTAGGTTCACAAAGCATGCGTATTCCTTCCACCAGATGATAGAAAATACTGCACAAAGGCAGATCCTGTCAGACATTACTCCTTACCCTGATGCCTGGTATTGACATACGTAAACCAGACTGGCTTCAAAAATTAAGATCTAACAAGCTGAAGATTTATTGACAAATGCTTTATGAAAGCACTCTGAAATTCTGTTATATTCTAAAATCGTAAGCATTATAAAAGTCTGGCTAATCAGCTGCCCTTTCTCAGTGGCAGAGGTTAGTCAGGTGTTGGAAATGGATCAGAGTTGTAGGCTCCAGGCCATGGCAGATGCAGGTTCACACCTGTGTTGCCCAATTTGTTCAGGGCTCTCGACTCCGCCCATGCAGACGTATGAGAATCACCAGATGTACTGAACATGCTGTTCCACTTCCACCCTCTCTTACAAAATCTGGAACAACCCTACAGGATTCCTTCACACTTCCTGCTGGTGGCTCAGCATTGCCACCCCACCAGAGCTTTTCTGGGAACGTCACTGGTTTAAAACAAACTACAAAACCAGCATAGCTCCAGGATGAAGTACACTCTAACATTCACGATGAGGGAAAACTGCTTTAAGCACTCACGTGTGCAATCCTTCACAGGTTGTTTTTTTTCCTAGAGTATTGTAACACATTAGGAATGTGTATCTGTGATTTTTACCCGTAACGATGGATGCAGTTTTGGTCATTGTTGCTACTGATTTAAAGTACATGTTCATATTCTTAAATCTCACGTGAGCACTTTAAGAATGAAAAAATGTGTGTCACTTAAGTACTGACAAGTAATGTAAACTCTCCGTTTTGCCTGGCACTGAAGTAGTTATGCCTAACACACTATTTGAGGTTTTATTTGTGATGTGCACACTAACAACAAATGATCATTAGTTTCTTTAATTCTTCCCGCTCACTGCAATGTCTCACAGAATGTCCTCCTTGATATGATCCTTTGGAAGGTTGTGTTCAATCGAGACAAACAAGGAGAATATCGCCTCACCATACCCCAGCCGCCTCAGGTTGGAGACTAGTATTTTGCTGTCATCATTTGAGTGCATGCAGATTAATTCAGTTTTGTCTTCTTTTTATGATCTATAAGTGTCTGTTGCCTTATCTTAAGCTTAAAACTGTTTAAATTAAATTTCTGTGACTTGAATATGAAAAGGAAAGGCTTCTTGTTTTATATTTTTCTCCTTGTTGACACTTAAAAAAAATTCAGCTCTGAATACAAGAACTATGAAGCAAACCCTGTGGATTGCTTTTAAGACTTTTTCTCACTTCATCTTCAGTTTGCACATTAGCAAATTTTATTTGTGCTGTCGCAACTTAGCATGCTAGGACTGGAAAATGTCTTGATTTTGCTTGGAAGCGAAATTGCTGATGCTGGATCTAGTCCAGTTCATCATTAATTTAGTTTAAGGTTTTAGAACAGCGGAAGAAAATGGCAAATGAAAGTACATTATTACTACTTTAGATGGTTTTGGAGACTGAAGCATTTAGCTTTTCAGGTGACCATGAATCTGGTCTGCCCTTCTGTCATTAATACATGAAGGAAATCTATGTGAATCCCATTTAAAAAAGGCTTTTTCTGTTTTAAGCCTGTTGGCTGATTACTTCTAGTTGGTTCTTGTTCAAAATACAACGCTTTATTTCTCATTTTATTAAAGGTATTTACTTCAGATTTACTTTTGTCATTTTGAGGCTGTCCAAGAACAAAATTGCTTTGTGTTCACTGAAGAATGGAAGTTGTGCTTAAGCCTCATGTTTGGTTTGGTTCACAAACTGATAGAAATTCAGAGCATGAAGAATACTACAGAATATATATAAAACCGTAAAGTACATTAAAATGTCAGCCCTGCAGACTACAGCTGCTCTCTGAGACATGAGGGATCCAGTCTTGAGAATGAGGAATGGTATTTCTCTTCTCTTGCTAGTTAAGTTACCTGCATTTAGGACAGGGAGGGGGAAAATAGGAAGGAAGGCTTCAGTTCAGTAATTTGTGTCCTGTTTTAGTAACTATTAATACCTGTAGGACTTAAGTTTCACAGTATCAGCTAGTTAAATTCTGCCACTTCTGGCTGGCTGCCTTCAGTTAACCAGTTCATTGCTTAAGAAAGTGTTTGAGGCTCTGGGAATTTTACTGCTTTTTCTAGACCAGACTTTTATTCTTCATTAGTAACATCATTTAAATGGTGCCTATTATACCTGTGTTTATTGAAGTTATTAAAACTATGACTTAAAAACTGTTGGTGACCTTAGATGTTATGATAATGCAGAATACTTGGTTTTTCTTAATGGTTCTTAAATGTCATTGCTACCGTAGCGTAGAAGAGATGACACAACAGAAGAGTTTGTGTTACACTTTTTACGTCCCATGTACCAATGAAATAGTAAATTAGAAACGAAAATAGTAGCTTTGGGGTTTTTTTTCTGGTGATTGACTGTATTGTTAGTTATATTAATTTTTTGCTTATGGTAATCCAGTTTTCAAATCTGTTCACTTCTGCAGGAGGCTGTGGATCGCTGTGGAGTCTGTTTCCTTTCTTCCCTGTTTGGTTGTAGAGAGAAGACACCAAAAGCCAAGTATATGCATCTAGCTCAGGAACTGCTGGTTGACCCAGAATGGCCACCAAAACCCAGAACAACAACAGAAGCGAAAGCACCATCCCAAGAAAATGGTTCATATCAAATCATCACCGTAACGTAGCAGTGGATCTCGGTGGCGTGTCTCTGTAGTAGTATTCAGAAGAATGTAATTTTAAGGCTGTATTTGAAATTGCAGTATACTAAACATCAAATTCTAATGCAGATATTTCCATACTGTTTCGTTTCTCTGAGTACAAAGTTCAGAGCCAGACATCTTACGGCTATACATTTCAAAAATGTAGGTTACCTTAGGCAGAACAAAAACGATTGTGTTTCCTTCCACCCGCTTTCAAATGACATTATTCCTAAATGAGATGTATTTGAAGGTTTAAACTGCAGGGCAGTGAAAACAGTTTCACTTCATTTGCCTGGAGTATCTTAATCATTGTCCTAACGTGCTCACCCAGGCACGTGTTCATGTAAACCCTGTGGCGTGACGGTCTCATGGTAGTACTAGAGGCACAAAATAACCTTGTCATGCTTCTTTATTTGTCTTTCGATGCTCACTGCTGAAAAGCTTTGTGCCTCTGAAAGGCTCCACAGTTTTGGTGGCTGTACCTCCATGTTTGTTCCTACTAGCAAGGAGGTTTCCAGGTGTGAAGTTTGAGTTTTAAGTTTTAATTCATTAGTCTGCCACAGCAGGAACTGGGAATGCTCTAGAAGCAGTATGTGCTGTCCTTAAGAAGAGAGCACATTGCTTTCAGGTGGGTTTTTAGCTGCTTTTCTAGCCAACCCCAAGCAAGGGCTTAGGTGGCCTCCGGAGGAAGGAGGCATTTGGCTACACTCTCAAGTTTTTGGAGAAGGAAGGCTGGAGAATCTTAACATCTTGTTGTGTCTCATGTTTTGTTACATTTAGCTATGCATTTCTCCACAGACCTTGCTTTTTTTGGCAGAAGGGTTGGATTATCCCTTTGTGGACCATGGTTTATTTGTAAATCTTAAGATAATTTCCCTGTGTACCTTGAAGCAGTAAGGCCAGAGTTACTGCTGCAAGGGAAACGAGGGTGGGAGGGAGGAATGTTTTCACGTGCCCACGCTTGAGATTAACGCATGTTAAGAACATATGCATTTCAAAGAGTCTGCCAGTGTCTTAAGCACGATATGTAGCTGTATGAAACAAAATTAAGAGAAAATAGATGAGCTAAAATCTGTCTTGCTGCACAACTATAAGGCTTATGTGGATTTTATTTAAAAAAAATTAAAAAAAGAAAGAAAAAAAAAAAAGCTTGCATCACCAATAATGCTGCTTAAGCACTTGGGGTAGCGATGCATCATTTTGCCATTAGGCGGTGTCAGAACACAAGACCACTAGAAAATTAGATCTGCAAAGATGTAGAGGCAGGCGGCGTCTTCACGTGCAAAGCTTAAAACTCTTCAGGTTTTTTTTTTTGGTTGGCTTTTTCATTTGTCTGTTTGGTTTTTAAACCATGAATTCTCTCCAAACCATCTTCAACTTGCTACGCTTTCGAAAAAGTCGTCTTTGGGAAGGTGATGAAAATACCAACTCCTGATCAGTCTGTTTTGACCACGTGCAGCTGACTGGATCAGACACGTCCAAGCTTTGGGAGGACACCTGGGCTGTGGGGAAGTCACGATTCTGTAGAGATCCTTTAGAGAAGGAAGTCCAGGTCCTTCAGAGGAGTTGTGGAAAGAGGGCTCCAAACTCCCTGGCTGTCTGGGATCAGTTTGAGTTGTGTGTGTTTTGAGGATGGAATTTGAGGTTTTGGTTGTTTGGGTTGGTTTGTTGTTTTTTTAAATTCCTGTGGAAACAATTCCATTCCAGCATTGTTTGAATAAGGCAAATTTTTCAGGTCGGGCCTAATTCCCTTGTGCTGTTCTGTAAGGCAGTGTGGACAGTGTCTCCCACTCCTCATGTCAGGGTTTCTGCAGTGTCGAGCATACTGTGCCAGTGGGGAATTTAAAAGTGGTGCTACGTGGTTTGGAAGACTTTTTCCTAGAACCTGGGGGTTTAAGTTATTAGCACTTGCTCCTCACGAGTAGCGTGTGCACAGTGTGCTATCCTCTTGTGCAGTGTGCTATCCTCTAGTCCAGCTGTCAACTCTTCCTGCTTTTTTGTTGTTGTTTGTTCTTGAGGGCTGGAGCAGGAGGAAGGGGGAAGTGGTTTTCTTGACATCCATTCAACAAACCGATGTGAAAGTCTTAATATCCTGGCTTCTTAGGGTCATAAACATCGAACATCGGTAGCTTTGAAGGGGTCTGCAAGTGTGGACTTGGATAAATTTATTAATCGTGAACTTGAGTCAGTTGGCTAAATTCTGTCAGTGTTGATTTTACAAAATCTTTGTAGCATGGACTGATCGATGAAGAATAATTCTTAGCTGCGTAAGTAGTATTCAAATTTAAAGCAGAATAACGTTTTAGTTGAAAAATGTTGTGGAGCTATGCACCCTGGACCTGGGAGCTGTGACTTACCCTTAAATGCATTAGCGTTTCCTTTCCGTGTCATTGCCGTTTTTAGCTTGGTTGTTCCATCAGAAGTGAAAGAAAATACGTGTGTCTTTCCCTTTCGGATGCTTTTGCTTAATCCTTTCTCTAGAATGATAATTTCTCTCTGCTTGTTTGGTTTCTGAAGCTCAATCTTAGTCTAGTTTATTAGACTTACCTAGAAAGTGAGGAGGAAACGGCTTATGAATGTGGAATTGTCTGCAGAGAATATTTTAGGGAACTCTTGCTAAAACTGATATTGCCAAGCGTCTCCACTTGATTGAGTGACTAATGGGTCATGAGCCGATGAAACGTGAGGATTTTGCAGATGGGAGCGAGTTTCCACAAGGTATGCGTTCAGAGTTTAGCAAATGTTCTTGAGGTTGCATGCCTGAGCTCTGACCTATTTGCTCCTGACGCTTAGTCAAGAATAATACATCGGCTTTTCTGAGAATCCCTCTCGTTGTTGCAAGTTCAACCACAAAATAAGCTTCTGCATCTCCTGCAGTTATTGGGGTTTATGCCTTCCTGCCCAAGAGCCGAGTTTGGCCACCTATAATTTGTCTCATTTCGAGCAGTTGAGTTTTTCTGGTTTTCAGAAATGCAGCAAACTAGACCTGCACTGGCGTATTCAGTTTCTGCTTTGAAGCAAGATGAAATTCAGTTCGTCGTGAAAAGAATCTCTTCTAACGTTCCTCTGGGAAGTCTAAATTCAGGTGAACAGACCAATTTAGTGATCTTCACCAGACACTTGGTAGTCATTTTCTTCCTGCTGTATATTTTGGCCTTACGTTGAGGAGTTTGATTTATTATTAAATTATTTGTGTATGCAGACTTTAAATCTGTACGTATTTTCCTTTGATGTTATTAGGATTTGTAAATATTCCTGATTTTTAAATATTATTTATGCACATACTTAAAAGGACTGGTCTACCCAGAAAAGCAATTGCTAAATAATAAATGTTACTTTTTAGAAGTAAATGGCAAGATCACGAAATTGTATATCCCTCAGGGTTATTTTTAAATTAGTTTTTCTCTTCCCTTCAGATTCAATTAGCAGTAACTCTGGTTTCATGGACTATAGAACTAAATCTACTGTAAAGAAAACGCTGCGAATAATGCTTGAGTAGAAGCAGCTAAAACACCCCCGGAACTGACTGTCCATATTCATCATGACTTTAAATTGGAAACTCTTACTGTTGCACTTTCTAAAAGTCGTTGGATTTTTAATTCTATTTATTTTTTTTTTGTTTTGTTTTGTTTCTTCATGAAGGTTGTGCTGAACAGTCGTCCCAAATCGGGTGAATAATCCGGTACTGTGTATGTGCGCACAGTATAATACTGAGCAGATGCGGAGTCCTTTTTATGCTGCAAATTTGTAACGCTTATGTTAGTCATCACAAAATGAGAGAGCTGAGGTTCTGTAGGATTTCTCCCATGAAATTCTAAATTGTAAACTTAGGTTTTTGTATGTCTAAGGGAAAGCTGTGGGTTTTTGACAATTTTTAAAGTCTTGACTATGTTGATTTTATACAGTAAAGCTTCAGGTTTTTAAAGATATTTTCCACAAACTGCAGCTTGTTTGATAATTATGTGAACCAGAAACTACTCAGTTTGTCATGAACTCCTCAAGCCTAACACAGATTAAAAGGTTCATCATTACAGCGCTCTCTAGAAGCTCAGCTTCCCTTTTATTTTTAAATCTGAAATGATACTACATCTTTGTATTTAAATATGTATTGCTGCTCTAGAATGGTACCCTGTTGTCAAGAGGCATACATAAATAACTGTACAATAGAATTGTAAATAGACTTGTAAATCATTTTTGTGACTGAAGCTCTTTGAAAATAAAATTAAAATGAACAGATATTTTAACTCTTTTCATTAGTTTCATGAAAGTGTTTTTAATTACTCGTTATAAAATTAGATCCAAAGCTTGTTGGAGAACATAGAGTCACTCCCGCTGATGTCACGGGGATCTTGTTCAGCGCCTCTGTGTTTTTGAAGATGGGGTGGAGAAGTTTGTGTGCCGGGTGTTAGCAGTGCACGACAGCACTGCTGTTCTGCAGCGGGATAACGTTGTCCCCTCGTGGCTTACGCAAGTGATTCTAAAGCCAGACCTTTCACATGTGATAGCGACTTTCCCACCTTCTGAGACCCAGATGTTCCTTCTGCTCTTTGACGCGTGGGAAGCATCATCTTGCAAAGATTTTGGGTGAAGTTCCTGGTCGTGAGCTGTCGCTGTTGTCGTGGTCATCTCAAAAAAAAATCATACAGAAATTAAGACATCTTTTCCATCCTGCAGCTTACCTCCCATTTAAACATTCAGTGGCAGAGCGCGTTATTTTAAACTTGGAGACAAGGTACTTGAAATACCTGGTTATTAATTTCAAAAACCTAATCCTTCCATTTCACACAGAATCCCAGAACGTCAGGGATTGGAAGGGACCTCCAAAGCTCATCCAGTCCAATCCCCCTGCCGGAGCAGGAACACCCAGATGAGGTTGCACAGGAAGGCGTCCAGGCGGGTTTTGAATGTCTGCAGAGAAGGAGACTCCACAACCTCTCTGGGCAGCCTGGGCCAGTGCTCTGTCACCCTCACTGAGAAGAAGTTTCTTCTCAAATTTCAAGCTAATATTTTGATAACTTAAAGCTTTTCTCTCTTCAGAATCTTTCAGGCTTTAGGTTTCCTTGGCCTGTGACTACAGAAGACGTGGAGAAAAAACAGAAGCCAGATGGGTCAGCCCTGAATTGTTTAGTTAAAGCGTTAAGTAGAAAACTCTCT